GAAATCAATTCCCCAATGTTTATGTTCTGGTCAGTGACTCTGAGATTTGAGGTTTCTCTATTAATTTTTATGAAAGCCTTGAGGGAGGGGAATTTTTTATTGTATAAAGAGGCCCTCCTGTCCCTCGTCCCATGGTTTTTTGCTCTTGACCACCCTAACTATGCTCGTTGGTTGTCTATTCATATCAGGGACATGATATTACTTGACAAAAGAAATCCCGATATTGCTACCCAGTTTGCTGAAGGAAAGTTTGTTGTCCATAAAACACATCATTCCTTTTCAGCTATTGCTCTTGATCATGCACATGAGCAAAATAACAAGCTAATCAAAGGTGATGGGGTGCTGTAGGTCTTACAGAGAATGCTAGTCACTTGTTGCGTTGAATGGTGTCTGGCCCTGAATTGGCAAGGCTTGTTAATGAATTTCAAACATCTGTGGACAAGTTGAAATTAGAACAGAGTCAAGGGCCCGACATCCGTCATCAAGAACAACAAAGTTTCTTTCAAACTAGATTTAAGAAGCATGTTCGTTCTCTTTGTGAAAAAATCCAAGACATGGAAAATCCTTTCCTTGATTCATCAGGTGATTTGATGGATCTAAATAACCGGAATATTGCCGATGAGGGTGTGGTCGAAACTGTCCGACAGATTTAACAGGTTGGAAAAGAGCAGTTCCAAACTTTTGTTTTAGAAAGATTAGAAAGCAGAGATAAAAACCTAACAGATGCTATTAAGCAAAATAAATTTCCCCTCTTCAGCAGGCAATCCCCGAAAAAAATCTCGAAAGAAAAACAGCAAATATCTTATCTTAAGCAGGACCGGTCTCTGTTTTCCCGGTTGTACGTGGCATGTCAGGTTCGAAATGGTAACCTTGATGAATTCTTTGTCCATGAAAATTCTGCATTCCCGCCATCTCTGTCTCAGTTTGGTAATTTGCGGTTTGGAACAAAGTCAGATCTTGTTTCTTGCCTTGAGGTTTATTCACAAGTCAGACTTGAGGTTCCTGAGGTTGATGCTGCAGCTTTAGATGGTGCTGTCATTGTGAATATGTTGAAACCTACAGGCTGTCAGTCTTTCCAGGACTATGCAGATTTTGTATTCAAGCCTTACCTCTTTCGTCAACTCTCGTGTGTAGAGAGACTTGATGTCGTATGGGATGTGTATAATGTAAACAGCCTTAAAGCAGCCACACGATCTCAAAGAGGAAATGGCGTGCGACGCAGAGTTCTACCTGACTCCAAAATCCCTGGTAACTGGGATTCATTTCTGCGGGTTGACGACAATAAAACAGAATTGTTTCACTTTCTCGCTGAACAAGCTGTTTCTGTAGAACAAGGACAGAAACTTATTGTCTCTACTCAAGGCGGTAGGGTCATTGCTTCGTCCGAGTTGTTTGATACAAGCTCAATCTCCCCATGTAATCACGAAGAAGCTGTTGTGAAACTAATATTACATATAGCAGATATGTCGGGTCAAGGGTATAAAAGAGTTATGATAAGGACTGTAGATACAGACGTTCTTGTCCTTGCTGTTGCAGTTTATCATAAGATTTCCTTAAATGAGCTATGGGTAGCATTTGGGGCTGGGAAAAATATAAGATATATAGCAGTTCATGACATAGTTAATTGCCTTGGGGAATCAAAGTCAAAAGCCCTTCCAGCTTTCCTTGCATTTACTGGAAGTGACCAGACATCTGCTTTCTGTGGGCGCGGTAAAAAGTCCGCTTGGGAACTTGGAAAAATTATACTGACATCACAACCTCGTTCTTAGTTCTAGGGTCTTCAACTTCTTTAGAGTCAGTTGTTAATCAGATGCCTACAATAGAGCGTTTTGTTGTTCTTTTGTACGACAAAACTTGTCCAGCAATCAATGTGAATGAGGCCCGAAAACATTTGTTCACACAAAAAGGTAGGTCTATTGAGACTATCCCTCCCTCTTCTGCTGCTCTTCTCCAACATATTAAAAGGGTTGCTTACCAAGCTGGTTACATTTGGGGGCAAGCATTATTACAATCTCCAGAACTTCCAAGTCCAGCAGAGTGGGGGTGGGCTCTAAGTGCTTCTAATAAATGGGAGCCCTTGTGGTCTTCTTTGCCACAAGCAGCATTTTCATGCCAAGAGTTGCTTAAGTGTGGATGCAATCCTCTTATAGGCTGTCGAGCTAGATGTAAATGCCAAAAAGCTGAAATGCTTTGTACCGCTTTATGCAAGTGTGGTGGAAACTGTGACAGAGGTTAAATGTTCACAAAATTATATTCTAGTATTAAAAGTGAGTAGTTTGTATTTTTAACATAATATGATTACGCCATCAACGTCATCTTTGAACTGATTTTTGGTGGAGTCATTAACTACAATTAAGATTTAAGATTTCTTAAACTAAGCTAAAAAGGTCTTGCATCATGTAATAGCTATTCTGTGACATATTTCTAATGTTAATAATTTAACAAAATGCAGATGGTACAGATTGAATGAAAGCATCTGACTATAATGAAACGTTTTACGTTAAAGTATATAATCTTACTTTCATTTCTTTAGTTATATTTGAGTATATTGTTTCAATTATTTTCATTTATAGCATACATTTATGAGTTTTCATTGTTCTGTTTATCAAATGAGTTTTCATTGTTCTGTTTATCAAATAAAATGAAATAAAATAGTAAAAAGATGAAATAATAAGTATGATTCATAAAAATAAAGCGCATAACTAAATATAGAGACTTTATTGTTTTATTTACGCTGTCATAGTAACACTAGACAATAAAAACATTATAAAACAATGTTTACTAGTGGGTAACATTATTTAATGATTAAAACACTTTATTATTAATAACATTTTGGTGCATTTTTAGTGTAATTGTTATAATACAAGCCTTGTATTGGATGGCTATAGTAAAAACATATTATTATGGCGGCCATTTTGAAAATGGCCGCCATGGCGGCCATCTTGGCATATATCAAAAGGGTCCCATGCCCAAAATGTTTCTTTTGTCTTAATAAACATATGTGCAAAGTTTCATGCTTTTCCCATTTTCTGAAGTATTTTGGCATATTTTGTTACAAATTGACCTGACTATTATGTCCAAGTTTGATTAAAAGCAAATCAAAAACAAGCCTGCTATCATGTGTATACATTTTTAAAGGCTACAAATCTATTAAAAAACAAATGGATCATATTAGTTAAATTCGAGTTTAATTGATTGTGCAAATTCATTCTAAATCAAACAAAAAAACACACCTGTTTTCTTGCTGGCGTTGGAAAATACATATTTAAGGGACAGCCTAGCTATCATAAATTATACGTTATAGTGATGTTTAAATAACAGAATTGTGATTAATATTTGCCACATATTCTATGTATGTTTAATTCCTGAAGCTTTTGTGTAGATGGAAAAAAATGTACTTTTGGACATTTTAAGGGGCAACTGGACATTTTAAGGGGCAATAAATGTGGATTCAATTCTTAAGCTTGATTATGATAAAGACGTTGAGTTTAAATAAAAAGTATAATGCGTTATTGAACTTACAATAAATAATGTAATATGCCGTAGCTGGTTAAAGACAAATAAGGGCTTGAACCCAATGACCTTTGACTTGAGAAGCTATACTCTTTACGCACAAGGCTATTGCTCACATTCAATGTCAGATGATATTAATATGCAGTTTTAAGAAACTGGTACTTCAAGTTATGACATGCTGCATCAACAAATTAATTAAACGCGACAGAAGACACATGCATGTGAACCTGAAATCTAATATTTTTCTGTAGGACTGAAAAAAGCCCAATGAAGTTTAAATACACAAGTAAAATAAAGCGTTTGGAAAATCATACAGTTGGGCCGTTAAAAAATCCAAGTCCACTATCTTTTTCTTGTAGAAATTAAATAATCATGTCAATTAAAATCAACCGTATACATATATCCTGGCGCAAATATTATCGTTTATCTTTCACTAGAAATGGGTCCTGAAAAAACAATCATAAACCAATTTTAATGTAATAATATTTTTTCACTTCTTTTTTCACAGATGAAATTATTACAGTTTAACTAGGGCCACTTCAATCAGTTTCATTATTTACAACGGCCAAGGACATGTGCTATAGAATTATTGATTTTACTACGTTTACGTTGACATTTCTAACAATGAGTAATCTTCCGTAACAAAGCTATAACTAGATGTAGTGCTTAGCGTTCGTAATCTGTCGATGAATCTTTAAAGAATATAATTATTTCTAATTGATATAAGTCATTTGTTATATATTATTTTGATATAATATGTTCTATAAGATCATTTTCAAATTAATAAATATTTTTTAATATTTAGATATTTAGATTATACGAGTGCTTTATCTCTATTGATAAAAATATATATATTTTTTTTTTAAAATGTATGATGTTTATGTGTATTACCATTGTTTAAATATAAATAACTCCCTTAATGATGTATATTGGGCAAACGCCAATATCAAAATAAAAATAATATGAAAGTTAATTTATGTGGATATGTCCATGTTTATATTTGAATTGATATTCTATATATCATGGTTATTAACATGAAAGAGTAAAGAGATTTTCGAAAAAGAAGACAATGTATGCATGTTAAGTGGAGCGATTATGTTTGAACAAATACAAACCGACACACGATTTACCTGTGTATAGATTTTCAAAAAGAGGACACTATCTGCATATTACGTGCAGCTATTGTGTTTAAACAAAGCAAAAAGACACACATTTTCCCTAATGTTATGTAAATAATCCTGTAATAAAAGTTTACTTCTAACAATTACGAGTTCACCAATCTTGTACAGGAAAGTGGGTAATATTGTAGCTCAAGACATACAAGATAGCAGAATTTAAATGATTCATTTGAATTTCACGTTAAATCTGGATTTCAGCTGTTTAAAACCCGTATTTTATTTTGCATAATAGCTAACATTAAACGAAACTTTTTCCCCCGTTTGTATTACCTTACGGTAATTTTAAAACAGTTTTCGTGTCCATGTGTTTTTAGTTAAGAATACAAACCTTATTATCGACGAAGTGTAAACGTTGTTATAAATAAAGCTGTCGCCATGATTATTTCCAAATGCGCATTATAATTTGAAAATAGGAGGAACAGGTTGCGTTGAATTCAAGTTGTAGTTGTAATTAAAGAGTTAAAGATAAATATGTCGTTTGCGGCTGGTGTCGGAACTTTTAACAGTTGCGATAAACCAGGATCCATTCTTAAATTCACTGAGCACCTAAGGACGCATCCAAACGATTACGATGCATTAATGTGGCGGTCTAAGGCACACAACATTGTTGGAAATCCACAGGAGGCTCTTCGGGATCTACAAACTGCCATGTCGGTAAGCAGTGGTATTAAACATGATGTTGCTAAAGGTGAATATATACGTTTAACAACTAATGACCTTGAACAATTCGGTAATCACGCGAAGACAACAGTTGACAGATATAAAAATGAATGGAAAGCTTGGGGCCAACTTGGCTTTTATAACTCGATTACAAATGATACATCGGAAGCTGTACGATGCTGGGAAAATGCTCTTTCGCTGGCGAAAGAACGCCAAGAGACAAAAGATCCCGAAATTTGCTGGACATATTTTAATGTTGGAAATCATCTTTTGAGTAATGGGAAAGTAGTCGATGCAAAAACATATTTCACAAATGCAGTTGAATCATGTCCCACCCATACCGTGTCACATATTGAATTATGTCGTGTCAACCTTTTACAAGGCAACCAGCAAGATGCTAGAGAGAATTTCAAAACGGCTTCACAACTTAATCAAGGTTTGGCATTGACCGTTTTTAAAACCAACAACTTCGATGAGTATTTGCAGCAGTCTCAACTACAACAATCTATGGAAACACTGTCTTTGTCAAGTGCACCCAGGTCTACTACGGCAAAAACATCAGAGTCAGGTGCGGCTGGAGGAGCTAGTGGTGGACCTGGTGGTGGATCAAGAGGTGGAGGAGGTAGCAGTGATGATGACGACGACGAAGGTAATAAAATGTTACTAAGAAAAGATATTTCTTTTAAATTTTGTTCCTCATTTGCAAAGCAATCAATTGATGTATATTTAATCCAACGTTTAGTTGATATTCTTAATAATATTATGTGAAAATGCTTTGCGTTTCATATATGAACGGTACATAGCTTCTTTCATACATTATATTTAATTAAGCACTTGGCATTCTAAAGGCATAGTATGGTATTGGTAGAACAAAAATAATTTCTTTCCTTCACAGAATGCCACAATTGACTAAATTTGGACATTTGTGACCTTGTCACTTTTCCTTAAGATTCATACAGGCTTAGACAGTTCATTGCATTTGGACTCTGATTTTATACTGTTCATGCTACGTGTGTTTTGCAGAGACTTATATACCACAGAAAGAACTTTGACTTGTAATAAGTTTTCTTAGTCAATAGTCAAATCCGTTTAAGATTGATCTAACGGCATATACTCCAAACTTAAAGGATGAGGTAAACTAGTTAAAAAGTAGAAACTAATGAAAAGTATCATTATAGGTTTGTTTAAAAACGTTTTCATTGTCCAAAGCTACTAAAATAGAACTCCAGACGTTTTAATGCAAAAAAAATGAAAATCTTAAGTTAAATGGTTATTGCTGTTTGAGTTTTAAAATAGACGAAAAAATCCTTAACAAAATGCCCAAAATCAAAAATGATCCAGGCATGGTTTGATTGAGTAGAATTTTGGACAATTATATGTTATTAAGTTCAAATGTGAAACAACAAATATCTAATCCAAATCGGTTTGTTTCCTTATTTGTTTGATACGATCCCTAGCTTATTTTCTTCTATAACCTGGTTCTATAAATAACAAAATATTTCGTAGTTTGAAACAGAAGGTATATCCCAGTGGTGGAAAAGCGATCTGTCTATTTCGAAAATAAATAATGCCAAAATATGAACGTTTTAAAAACAAACTTGTTTTAAGACTTATTAGGACAATGAGTAAACGATAGATTTAATGTTCTCTCTCCTGCGGGCACGCTGTTTAAAAAACTTTTCTTTTGCACTTTCGTTCCGGAAGTTTTATTCTGATGTGTTTCTATTATTACAACTTTTTCTTTTGCACTTTCGTTCAGGAAGTTTTATTTTGATATGTTTCTATTAATAGATGTGAGCGCGATTTGGAAAAGATTGCAAAAGGAAGCCCCGTGTATTAAGAGGTATGGTGGTCATAAATACGTCCAGTCAAAATGCGGAAAATACTGGTACAGCAGAGATACGGCAAGACACGGTGGTGCACAGTTCAAGAGATATGATGACACAGGTAGTACTTTG